CGCTGTGCTTCACTCGGTAAGTCGGTCGGTGGTCGGCCGGACGATCGTTCGATCTGTCGTTCATCGACCGGACAGCGTATTGTGTATTGTCATTGTATGTGAGTGTGGAATGATGCTTTGGCGGTGTGCTTTGCGTATGTTGTCTGACGCCAGGATTGAGTGTGGTGTGTGTTTGATATATTCGCTCAAAAACACGCACGCACGCACGCACACACCCTTCTTCTCCTCACTCAATCTCTCAGTCTCTTATCGTTTTCTTACGATTCTTTCACTCCACTCGACCACATACACTACTGACATCGCGTCGCCATCATTGTCATCTTCACTGTCATCCTCACCGTCAACATGCAGGTCGACTTCAACGTCGGCCTTCGACACTACGTGCATGTGCATATCTATTGTCTTCGTGACTGTGTCTGTCAATTGCTCTAACTGTGTGTGTGCGTGTGCGTGTTCGTGGATGTGTTTGTGTGTGTGAATTTCTCCCGAAAGAAATCCGAAACAATAATCCAAACTATAGATTTAACCACACGTAGGTTACGCGTAAATTCCAAATACAGGATATTCTGCAATACGGTACTCAAAATGTGAGGTGTCTTTGGCTAGATGCCGTCAAATGCACAACCACTGTGCAGTCAATAAGTAAAAACAGCAATCCTGTGTCAAGTTCGATCCACGTGTCGGTTCAAACGGCCCGCGAATGCCAAGCAGAGAATAAACAAATAGGAACAAACAACTTTCAATAGTAAAGCATACACTATAGGGTAAATGCAGCAAATAGTGTTTAAGGAGAAGAAAAATAAGAACTATACATTAATTAATAGAATGATAATAGAACAAGTAATTTAACTGCAGTTGTAAGCAAATGTCATTGTTATAAATTAACATATAAACCTCATACTACTTACTAATGGCAAGTAGTATAATGTTGAACAAAGGAAATATTGTCAATGAACAGGTGGGAAAGAAATTAACAGTGTGTTTGTGCCTGGTTGTGTGGTGGAGTGTGTGTGTGTGTTTGTGTGCGCGTCTGTCTGTCCCTCTATCCGCCTGTCTGTGTGTGTGTGTGAAGTGCTTGCTGTCTTGTGTTGGGAATGTGTTGTTTGTGTTTGACACAGACTCCACTCCGTACGGTGTGAGTGGTTGTCGTGAGAATTCGTGGTTGAGTAATTCAGTGTTGAATGATTGTTAGTTGTTCGTTTGTGTTTGTGTTTGTGTTTGTGTTATGCGAGTGTGTGATGGTGAATGCTTGAGGAGGTGTAATAGTCGGGGGTATAGCTCAGTGGTAGAGCATTCGACTGCAGATCGAGAGGTCCCCGGTTCAAACCCGGGTGCCCCCTTCACTTTTCAACTCACACAAACAAACACACCTCACTAATTACACACAGACAAACTCCAGTCACTCACCACATAGTCGATACGAGATCACTCACAAAATTTAGTGCTAAATGAACACACGCGGACACAATACATTACAAGACAAGACAAGACAAGACAAGACAACACAGACCAATCCACTATCAGGCAAAGTTTAAGAATGGAGTCCCAAGAGATGCCAACGCACAATGACTTTGAGCCGATCAATCAGAAAATAGGAGGAATTTTGCATAAAGTTTAACGTATATTTACAAAAAATGCATGAAGAAAACATTAAACGGATTATATTTCTCTTATGTGACCTAAAAATACGTTCCAGTTGCGATGAAGAGTATCAGTTGCTAATTTGGACTAGTTTCTGTAGATGTAATCACCAAAGAGACTGAAGGTGTGCTGTTTTGGGAATGGTTCATCTATCTTCTCTTGCTGTGTAGTCCTCTCCTCAGCCCTCGGTTTAGTTACTATGGTTCCAGTAAAATCATTGGCGACTACATACAAGGGAAATAAGGATTACAAACGAACTTGAAATAAACGAAAAATCTATTCCTAATCGCTACCCTAACCCTAACCCTAACCTAAACCCTAACCCAAACCCTAAACCCTAACCCCTAACCATAACCCTAAACCCTAACCATAATCCTAAACCCTAACCCTAATTCTAACCCTAACCCTAAACCCTAACACTAACCCTAAACCTAACCCTAACCACAATACTCGCCTTAACCCCTATCCTAACCCTAACGAGATGTTAACACATTGTCCAAACAGTAATAAAAGTGTTATCTGGGTGAAACTTGCTCCTTATTTGATGAATAGGGTTGATATTTCAGCTATGATAATGACAGGAACCGTTAGCCAACGACTAGCATGCGTTCAAGGTCATTTGAGCGTTGAAGGTTTTGGGACCCTATTCTTAAACTTCGCCCACTATCAATTCAACATGCACGTGTCTCCACCTCGAACTCTTCACGACCAAGTAATGCCTCAACTCGAATCATCGGTAAAACAGTGTCCAACGGAAATTACACGCGCATACAGACGAACACAGGCACGCTGTGCTTCACTCGGTAAGTCGGTCGGTGGGTCGGCCGGACGATCGTTCGATCTGTCGTTCATCGACCGGACAGCGTATTGTGTATTGTCATTGTATGTGAGTGTGGAATGATGCTTTGGCGGTGTGCTTTGCGTATGTTGTCTGACGCCAGGATTGAGTGTGGTGTGTGTTTGATATATTCGCTCAAAAACACGCACGCACGCACGCACACACCCTTCTTCTCCTCACTCAATCTCTCAGTCTCTTATCGTTTTCTTACGATTCTTTCACTCCACTCGACCACATACACTACTGACATCGCGTCGCCATCATTGTCATCTTCACTGTCATCCTCACCGTCAACATGCAGGTCGACTTCAACGTCGGCCTTCGACACTACGTGCATGTGCATATCTATTGTCTTCGTGACTGTGTCTGTCAATTGCTCTAACTGTGTGTGTGCGTGTGCGTGTTCGTGGATGTGTTTGTGTGTGTGAATTTCTCCCGAAAGAAATCCGAAACAATAATCCAAACTATAGATTTAACCACACGTAGGGTTACGCGTAAATTCCAAAATACAGGATATTCTGCAATACGGTACTCAAAATGTGAGGTGTCTTTGGCTAGATGCCGTCAAATGCACAACCACTGTGCAGTCAATAAGTAAAAACAGCAATCCTGTGTCAAGTTCGATCCACGTGTCGGTTCAAACGGCCCGCGAATGCCAAGCAGAGAATAAACAAATAGGAACAAACAACTTTCAATAGTAAAGCATACACTATAGGGTAAATGCAGCAAATAGTGTTTAAGGAGAAGAAAAATAAGAACTATACATTAATTAATAGAATGATAATAGAACAAGTAATTTAACTGCAGTTGTAAGCAAATGTCATTGTTATAAATTAACATATAAACCTCATACTACTTACTAATGGCAAGTAGTATAATGTTGAACAAAGGAAATATTGTCAATGAACAGGTGGGAAAGAAATTAACAGTGTGTTTGTGCCTGGTTGTGTGGTGGAGTGTGTGTGTGTGTTTGTGTGCGCGTCTGTCTGTCCCTCTATCCGCCTGTCTGTGTGTGTGTGTGAAGTGCTTGCTGTCTTGTGTTGGGAATGTGTTGTTTGTGTTTGACACAGACTCCACTCCGTACGGTGTGAGTGGTTGTCGTGAGAATTCGTGGTTGAGTAATTCAGTGTTGAATGATTGTTAGTTGTTCGTTTGTGTTTGTGTTTGTGTTTGTGTTATGCGAGTGTGTGATGGTGAATGCTTGAGGAGGTGTAATAGTCGGGGGTATAGCTCAGTGGTAGAGCATTCGACTGCAGATCGAGAGGTCCCCGGTTCAAACCCGGGTGCCCCCTTCACTTTTCAACTCACACAAACAAACACACCTCACTAATTACACACAGACAAACTCCAGTCACTCACCACATAGTCGATACGAGATCACTCACAAAATTTAGTGCTAAATGAACACACGCGGACACAATACATTACAAGACGGACAAGACATCACAACACAACATCTTCATTATTATTTACAAATGACATTAAGATATGGAAAACTGTAAACAATAACGAGGATAGGTCGGCCCTGCAAACTGATTTAGATAAATTAGCTGAGTGGTCAAGCCTATGGAGTTTGGAAATGAATGCTAGGAAAAGCGCGGTAATGCACTTAGCTCAGAAGTCTTATGCGTCGTACTCCCTAGGGGATGCAGAACTACCTGATGTTAACGAACAGAAGGACCTAGGAATCATTGTCAGCAATGATTTGAAAACAACTGCAAATTGCAATGCAGCCGCAGCTAAAGCTATTCGAATGCTATGGGCAATTCGAAGGGCTTTCAAACGATTAGACGAGGGCCGAACGATCGGCCGGACGATCGTTCGATCTGTCGTTCATCGACCGGACAGCGTATTGTGTATTGACATTGTATGTGAGTGTGGAATGATGCTTTGGCGGTGTGCTTTGCGTATGTTGTCTGACGCCAGGATTGAGTGTGGTGTGTGTTTGATGAAAAGCGCTCCCGCGCCGGGAGTCGAACCCGGGCCGCCTGGGTGAGAGCCAGGAATCCTAACCTCTAGTCCACGCGGTAGAATGGGTTGTGTTCTTTGTCGCAGGCACTAGTATGTCTACATTCAGTTGCAACCTCATATGCGGCACCGTTGATATATTTGTTGAATCACATCTTTTTCTAATTCAATACCACGATTTTATTGAGAATGTGTATTGGTTTCCCTCGTTTTTTTTGTTCGTTGCTGCCTAACGAAATTTTGGCATTTACTGCAAGTTTACATTTCCCACTTCCCCTCCACACACACACACACACACACACACATGTAAACCTGAACTTATGCTATGCTGCTGACGAGGGAATTCATTCCGATTTGCTGCATGATGTGAAACTTTCTTCAATAAATTAATCCCGTCCACAGAACAACAGAAATCTGGTGACTTAACAAAGTGATTTCAGTTTTAGCTGCTGCTATCTATCAAAATGATTTGTGTTATAATGGAAATAAAATGATTAAGTGTTTTGGACTCGCTCATACTTCGAATAAGCTTGAGTTCGCCCATGCCTGTGATCCCATTTAAGTAGGATTTTTAAGTCTGATTATTAATTATTCTTAAGTTTGACGTACACTATACAAGATGTATATTCATTACATACCGAGGACTGGATGATTTGTAATTGAATGTAGGAAGCAACCAGTTAAAAATATCACATAACTTTAAATTCCATTTTTATAATCCATTCTTATTAATTCTATCACAGGCATAAAAGACATAAAATGTAAGATTGATTTCAGTAGTACGTTGTTTAAATTAACGAACTCTTCAATATTTCATAGGGATTACGAATGATTAATTTGAAATTCTCCCAAAAATATAATTTATTATTTTATATAAATTGAATATCTTCGGCTTGTGGATCATAAATTCTCTTGTATTCTTCAAACAAGGATTGTAGTTTCTTTTTATAGATGTCTTTAATGTGAACAACTTGTTCATCTGTTGGTTCTTTTATTTGTTCACAGTAAATTGGTGCACCGACTATATGTAGAGGGGGAAATGTAGAGAAAATAAATGGAAAAGAGTGAAGTAGCACTATATTAGCAAATGAACTCTTCAAATTTAGTGAACTTCTGAAATGAATTTCGCTGTAGTCAGACACTGGTTAAAAAACCCCACTAGAAACCAAGAAGCATTAGCTAGCTGCTTTATCATATTTTGGAACATATTAGTAGTGAGTGACGAACTCACCCGAAAATGAATCGCATCTTTCTCCAGTAACGTAACAATTTTTTGTATACTTTGCTAGAAAGTAACCATAAATTGTCAGAAAGCTCTGTTTAGACTGGATTTTGTGTTTTCTAGAGGTCATAGGCAAAGCTTGTCTGCAAAGTTATAGAAAATCGTGCATATTCCAAAGGTCCAACATATGTGACTCAGAGTCAAAATCTGTACATTTACCTCCACAAAGCTGTCTAGGTCGTTGATGAACTAGATGGTGTTCATAAATCAGTCATTTAACGATAGCCGATGAAGTTATATGGTCCCAAATAATACTGATTTTGGGTAGTTTGCAGTGCATCAGCGCTAGACGATGTACAAGATATTCTGAAACAATTTGTCATGCTTATTGAGAGTGTCATGCCGTTTGTTTTGGTGGGCATATTGCATGACTGATTGACTAACTTCACTTAATAGGTAGGAACAGATAGCTACAGAGTAATTTTTAGTAGACCACTTTATTAGACTTAATCGATTGTTTAAAATTGTTATATACACATCTTTAACTGGCTGTTTTAGTTTCATTCTGATATTGTCAGTTCGGTATCGGTTATAATGAAACTAACATTCTGCAATCAGTATACCCTTGGGTTCCCAGTAGAAAACAGAACTTCAGAAGCAAATATCCATTTTGTCCTGTTCTATGCAGTCCTATTTAGCTGGATTCAAGACTGCCCATAGTCTCTCAGCTCCTCCTCCCACCATATCCTTTATGTTATCCTCCGACTCATACTTAACTCATCGGTTCCCATCCGACTTCCACTCAAGCGATGGCCTCGTACGCGATGTCACCAGACAGTCTCCTCACAATGTGTCCAATCCATCTCCATTTTCTCCGGAATATTTGTTGGACAAGAGATTCCTGGTTGGTCTGTTCCCAGAGTTTCCTGTTTATAATTCTCTCTGACCTGCCATTAGATCTTCAGTATGTAGCCAGAGGAGTCAGATGTTGATAAGGGCCTGCAGCCAGCTGTTGGGAATGCTTTTCGTGGCACAGTGCAAGTTTCTGACCCATGTTGAAGAACCGACTTAACATTGGTGCTGGATCTTGCTGAACTCCATCATTGAAGCAGCCACAATAATTCTATGAGCTTGACGAAACGGCCATTTAAAAAATCAGGTGATGTTTAGCTACCTTTAGGAGTGATTAACTTACCAGGTAATGAAAAATGAATGTCTGAAGAAGTTTTTATTTCTTTTATTTTTTTTTATTTCTGATTACAGCTTGATTCCACACTGTATTTTTGGTACAAGTATGGAATTTTCAGCATGGATATCGGTAGCCCAAATTTTGCAGGCCGACCATAGATATCAGGTGTGCGCCGGTGTGGGCTCGAACCCCGGACAATGTGCATGGTCGGCGAGAGTCCTAACCACTGTGCCACCGACGCACAGTCTAAAGAAGACGACAAACAAGATTTGTGGTCTTCGAGTTTTTAGATGGATAAAATTGATAACAAAAAAGTTTTACTTGACCTTTCATCCAATGTGTTCTGAATGTTGAACAGTACACCAGAAGTAGAATCATTTACGTGATAACTTAGAGAGAAAATTAAGATGACCATTTGAGATACAAAAAAATCTCCCACGTGAAAAAAATTTAAAAAAAATTCACAATAAAATGAAGATAGCATTGTTTATAGCTCTCAAATCGAAAGGGCACACATACTGAAATAAGACTGTGAGTATTGGTGGGATAAATTAATTAGTAACTTACCTACAGTATATATTGGTCTACGATAAGGGAATGGACCATGAGCATAGAATATAGGTACAGCAAATCCAAAAATTGACGTAAATTTATCCTGTAACCATCGCAACCATGATCCTTGGTCATTAGCAACTTGTTTATACAAACTTTGTTCACCGAATGATATACACGGTACCAAATATGCCCTTTGACGAAAATAACAGGTCTTTTTAGAATAGCTTCAGGTGAATTTATTAATAATAATATTAAGACGAAATGCGTTTTCTTACAATTTCATAAGCTGAAAACCAGTTAGATATTGATGGTTTAACATACTTCTCCAAAATGAACTGAATTCTCTTCTTGGTGGGCGGCGTCACCTAACGACTGAAATGTGGCCTGAAAGTTATCTTAAGTCATCGTAAATAGTTTTACCCAAGGGTTGTTGCGTGAGGAAAAATTAAGGTGCACAGTTGTTCAGCGCAGACTATGCTGTATGAAGAACTGTACGGAACTATAGGTATTAGGCAATAATTTTCAGGAGAGTGTTGAGTAGGCCACGCCAAGTGACGTCAGTAATTATTGTCTAATAAAAACTCACTATACACTTCAAAACTTTCAATTTTTCTCGACCAGTTTGAAAGTCATCTCACTGCTTAGCAAACAGGAAGCTCTAATTTCTGCACGATTTCCTTTCAAGGCTATAAAGCATTAAATTCTAAGAGTTAATACTAATAGTAATAATAACAATAATAATGACTCCTATGCATGAACAGTGGACAAACACCTTTCAGCAGCATATTCGATTTGTTTATAATAGTTGAGACAATAGATAATGATTCTGCATTTAGCTAAGTGAACCTTAAATGTCATTGATTTGAGAAGTCTCATTTCTTCCATAATATACCTATGTAGTCATCGAATTTCTTCAGCTAGAATAAGTCATGTGATTACAATGACACGTTGACTTCTAATTTATATAGCTAATATTTAAATTTACGTATAACATTTAATCTATAGGCTTTCCAAAGGCAGCAGTTTAAGTGCGTGTGACTTTGAGAAACAATCTTCCAATAAGATATTTCGCGTTCATGCTTCTGTATACACCTATCATGTAGTAGACTATTCTATCTCCGACTATAAGGATGACAGAAAACTTGAAAAACCTATTTAGTTTCTTCACTTTCAGGGAATTTCCGCTGAGTTGTCAGTAACTTAAAAAGGTAGTGAAGTTTAAGGGAGAGTGAAGAACTGTGGAGAAGAAATTTTTTTAGTTAAGTCATTTCCTATAGCCATATAACCGTACTTTCGGCAATCACAAGCAAATTACAAGCTTTTGTTCAAAAATGAACAATAAGTTGTTATGGCGTCACTAGTAATCTGAAGTGTCTAAAAATTTACACGCTGTTGTGAAGCCAATTATATTGGTCGTATAAACACCCTCTTTTGAAGCACTACTCCTCATAGTTCCCACGGGAAAATTGTTCGATATCTAAGGATCTTATCGATTCCAATAGTAAAACTCCACTAGGTTCGTCCTTATTGGTCAAAATAAACAGGTCCAAAGGAATATGAATTAGAAAATTCCACATGGTAGGGGCATTACAGATATCTGTGTTCGGAAGATACACATATCTTGACCTTTTGTCTAATCCTTTCTCATAGTTAATGAATCATCATTATCTCCGTTATGTTTCTTAATTCCTTCACGTTTCTACACTTGTCAAATGACAGTTAAATTCCGAACTTAATATTCGGCAACTATTCATAATTTATTCACTTATATATGTTCCTTCATTGTTTAAACTGTCAGATTACTCCTTTTGTATCTTAAATCAACCTCTAGTTTCTCTTGTCCAATAATGTGTTAGTGATGCAGATTTCGATTATCATTCAGTATCAGACTTCCATTATATCTGTGGCAACTAGACTAAACAGCTTTGTTAGACAGCTTCGTAAAAAAGAAACTTTTTTTTACTGAATACAGACAAAATATCTAACTTCATTTTATAAAAACAAATATGTAAGCTTTTAAGGAGGTAATCCCCATGAATAATACCTTTGATGAACATTTTCCTTTAGCTTGGGACCACAGGTTATGCATTTTCATCAGAACCAGAGAAAATTGGCTTGCTAAAAAACCATAAATTAGCAATCAACTTTTATTTAATTAGAAGGTTTTCAAGGGTCAGAAAGATTTCAAAATAGGTTTTCTCCCTAAAATGAAACACTTGTTCATTACCAAGTTTTCAATAGCTGGGCAGTAAAGACAACTTCGATTTCACTAAAAAAATCTGTTAAAATATAAAGGAAGTCTTAGGTACCCTCCACTTTTATCTTATCACAAGAGATAGAATACTTAATCAGCAAATTCTGAAGTTTACTCATTACATCACTCAACACATATGTACTCTTCATCTACTACTGTGATGAGTTTAATAATACAGTTTTTAAGTGTGTAAAAGATGTAATTAGATAACATTTCAATATGTTATAAATGATAAGTTAAATCCCAAGTATATTTTTAAAATTTCTATCACAAATAAAACATTTTTTTGCTCCAGTTTTCCTTGGCAGTTTCTCAGACTTAAAACTTTCCTGCAATTTAATGTCCTACTTTTTAATTAAAAGTAGCTTGTGAATTTCATTAGTTCATTTCATCATTTAGTCTTAAAACTACTGTAGTACTTACCCAGTTTGTAAGGCTAACTTAAAAAATCCAAAACGTTGATTTATGTGAATCACATATTTCCCAGGTCTTGCATCTAAGGCTTCAGCAGCACCTCCAAGAACAACGACAACAAAATTTCCCGTTTGATTACAATTACTTTTGTTCAGTACATTTAACAATCCAGTTTTATCGGCAGAAATTATTCCTGGAATGCAGTCGTAGTTCAACAAGAATACACAGTAGACTTAAATAAAAGCAACTTTATTATTTTTAGTTACACAGCAAAAACATTAACATGTAGTAAAAAAACAGTTAAAAAGTACCTTCTAATACATTTCGTAACAATAAAGTGGCTTGAAAAATGCTTACCTCTGTTCGTAAAGAATTCCATAACTCAAGAGGACTATGGAGTATCAACAATTTCTTTCCCAGACATGTAACACAAAGTAAGATTGTACATTTGACAGATTATTAATTCCATTTCGAATCCGTCCCATGTTACTTTTTCATATTAGTCTTTATACTACTTATCACTAGTAAGTAACATGAGTTATTATTTTGTTACTCCATAACCATAATTATATGATATTGAAGTTTACCTCACCGACTGTGTTGATATTCTATTTGACATATAGCACCTGTCTTCTTATAGTTAAACAATATATGCTCTCTATGTCTCATTTGTATACCCGTCTCTGCTGAATACTGTTTATTCAGTTTCCCTTATTTGTTGTCTGGTATTCGCGCACGTGGATAGCCCAGGACACTGACTTTGCAGTTTTTCTTGTTGTTGCAAAGTGACTGTGCATTTTATAACATTCAGCTACAGATACCTCACGATTTCAGATTTGTACATTATATTTTATTATTTTATGTAATATATAGTACTTTGGACAAATCCTATGTTTGGGATTTTAAGCGTAATTCATACGTGTGGTTCAATTTATCAATTGAAATTATCGCCCCAGATTTCTTAGAAACAGTTCACACCGACATACTTAAGTATTTTAGCGCGATATCATTTAACGCAGCATAGAATGACAGTCAAACCTCTACCTTAATTCCATCAACTTTGAGAAAGCCTTCAACAGCGTTAAATGCGAGGTAATTCCGAAACTATTTCAACACTATGGTGTTCAGTGCCCTGAATCTTTATCAAGGTTATTCATCAGTTAAGTAACAGCAGTATGTGTCAGGTGGTCCACTACGGAAAAATCACTGAAGACTGTGAAGTGAACACAGGACTAAGAGAAGGCTGCCTATTATCACAATGATATTCCTAATTGTGGTGGACTGGATTGTGAAGAAGACTGTCAGTGAGGAGTGAGAGGACAGGAATATGTTTGACCGAAAAGAGGACTCTAGAAGATCTGGATTTAGCAAATGATCTAAGTTTAATGTCATACAAACTCGAAGGCTTGCAGTCAAAAACCAACAAACTGGGAGAAGTGGTAGTCAACGAAGACAGGACTTCAAGTGAACATATAGAAGAGGGAGGTGATGAAAATAAATAACCAACAACAACAATAACCAGCGCTAATCAATATCGACAGAATAAGTTTGGTGGAGGTCACTTCCTTCACTTGTCTAGTGAATATCGTTTCACATACAGGAGGAGAGAAGGGATAAGGATATCAAAACCAGCAGCAGTCGGAAAGGCAAGACAGACCTTCACTGCTTTGAAATCAGTTTGGGAATCTTCTGCACTTGACATAAACGACAAAATCCCTATTTTGCAACACCGATGGGAAGTCAGTCAGTTTCTTTACATGGGTCAGAAAATTGCCCTGCGCATTACGAAAATTATTCCCAACAACCTGCTGCAGAGCCGAATCAACAGCTGACATCCCTGGATACATACTGAAGATATAATGGCTGGTCAGGGAAAATTATAGACAGGAATCTCTGGGAACAAAGCAGTCAAGAATCCCTTGCTCAACAAATATTCCGGAGAAAATGGAGATGGATACACTCTGAAGAGATTGTATGTTGACATCGTGCGCTAGGCAATAGCCTGAGGGGAATCAGAATTGGAACCGACGAGCTGAGTCTGAGTCCGAGTGTCCCATGGAGGATATGGTGTGAGGAGGAGCTGACAGACTATGGGCAGTCGTGGAGCCAGCTATATTATATATATATGATCTCTAATTTACTAACCACTCCTTAACCCGAAAAAAGAGGTAACTTCGGGTGCGCAGCTAACAGCACCAATCTGTAAAGGCTATCTAACACCAATTTTAGTCTGATTAATCAGCAGAACCATTAGTGAACAAATATGGAATTCTTTAGAAAGCATCAGTAAAGACTTCTGAACTAATAATTAATACTTTCTTAATTAAGCAGCTATTCTCAATGTTTTATCAACTAGTAAGTGTGGTAAAAATTCACATTACATTTTCATTTTACGAAAGAAGAAATCTGAAAGGTTGACGTAAATTATTTAATCATTTAACTGATTCAATTAATTCATCATGTTTTCAATACCTAGTTATTTACGAGAAATGACGCACATAACTCGTGTAAATGACTCGTCTGAGTCAGCTAACTTCACAAAATAAAACAATTAAAACATTTTTTCAGAAAAATAAATGGTAATGCCATTTCGTTTAGACAGAATAATAGTTGATTTAGTATCCTGAAAGAAATCTAAAGAGTGGTAGAGTGATTTCTTAGAATTTTACTAGAATTGACTAGTTAACGATGAGTTTTTAACATGCATACTTAAAGCAACCAGGCTTCGCATTAGCATTTTTTCTCCCCAAGTCTCACTTTCGTTTGTAGAGTTGTTGACTTCAGTAGATGTTCAACAGAAAGACAGTCTTTAACTACTTACAAGAGTCAATGACTTTTTCCATCAGAAATTAAAGCACTTCCTTACAAGTTATATGTATATACAGTCTTGCAGTTGTACTGCCTACCTTGATACCATTTACAGGGTTACACAAGTGAAATGTAGTGATTTCTTCTAGAATTTTTGGTTTCCAAAGGAAATCATGGTGAAATCTAATCTCAAATTGTGTTATTTGAAAATCTTTCTTTGTATCAACATCTTGGCAAAGTAGTTGGTCAGTATTCCACTAGTGTGATTACGATTCGGCCTTCAGAACCGAACCAGTCTGCATACACTGATGATGAGGTCGGTGGCAAATATTCTCTTACTGTGAATAGTGTAACTTAATTGTCTGGATGATAAATAAATTCATTCAGCTAGCTCTGACGCTTTTGACTGAACACCTTGTACTAGGCTGTATTCAGTGCAGTGAGAATCCCTTCAACTATGTCCTAGCCTCACGCCTAACCTCCCCTCTTTGTCGGGATTTTAACAGGTTAAAGGAGGCAAAGATGTGCTCCAAATGGAACTCGAAGCTCGAACTACGTGCATGGTCGGTCCTAGGAATTACTGACTTACAAAAAGAGACTAATTAGACACTTTAATAATAATAATTATTATTGTTAATAAAACTTATCATGGTAGGCAATAAATTTAATTGGTAGAAATGACTAACTTTGCATTGTTTTCACTCAAACTAAGTAGAATTGCCTCAATGATAATAGAACGGTCTTCAGGGAGGAGAGATAAACAAGTCTAGAAAATGGGTTATTAAAGCAAATTTTCGAAAATATTCACTACTGCTCAATGAGATTATAACTTGTATACAATTGGTGGATGGTGGCTAGCAGTGGAATCCAGGATGCGCATTTCGTCCTATTTGGACTCGTCAGCCGGATGTTCCTGCATTTCTCAGTGAGTGATGACATTCCCACCGAAGCTCGAACCCGGTGCCCATAGTTTCAAACGCCAAAGCGTTATCCACTAGACCACTTGGGCCACGAGAGCCACCTCTTGTGCAACGGGTCTTATTAATTATTGAATTGAATTTTTGATTTTCCCGTCGATTGTTTGGACCGAAGTGCTCGGTCTCAGGTTGACATGTCGGCTTCTTGTGCAGATGCTTCGACGATGTCTGGGCATTTAATTAGTATACAATTGGTGGATGGTGGCTAGCAGTGGAATCCAGGATGCGCATTTCGTCCTATTTGGGACTCGTCAGCCGGATGTACCTGCATTTCTCAGTGAGTGATGACGTTCAGTGACACAGATGAATAAAACCTCCGCTACTGCTACAAATCACCAGAAAGGAAATATTACTTGAAGACGTGTGATAAGCCGAAGGCTCGCCATTAATTGGTGAGGTCTCTAACTACTGAAATGAAACATGTAAGCAAGCATAACTCACTGGAATGATATCTGTGAATTAATCGAATATAATACATTAAAACTCTATGTGATATGTGTAAGAATGGATCTCAGCAGTTTCATTGAATTCATTGTAAAAGTAGGATGTGGTCACTGAGGCAATATTTCCACACTAAGCATGTTTTTCTGATATAACATTCAGTGATGCCGTATTATCTGCTGCATGATATTTCAAACTCAGTTTTTTCCTCACTACCTCATCAATATATGACTATGAGGTAGGAAAAATGTAGATAAATTATTTTATTCAATTGTAGATTTTCCCGTCTACTGATTGGACAGAAGTGTTCGTTCTCAGGTTGACATGTTTGCTTCTTGTGAAGATGCTTCGACGATGTCTGGCCATGTAATTAGAAGTTAATTAACTTCATACAAGCACATCCAGATGACGAGTCCCAAAAAGGACGATATGCGCGTACTGGATCCCACTGTTAGTCACCATTCACCAATTAACTTATAATGTAGATAAATGTTTACAATAACTCATAAGATTACTTTTCTTTGGTGCTTGTATTCATACAATGATTTTATAATTGGTGAAGTTAAAGTGAGTGGAATTAAAGCGACCACTACAACGTTCATAGGACTTAGCATACTTTAAAGGGAAACTCATATTGACCGAAGAGCCAATTGTCTAAAAAACTGTTTGAAGTCGGTATCTAATATGTCTAATTTTACAAAGTAGTCACATAGTACTTCAAGAGAATTCTAATCGTAAATATACTTCATAGAACTGTACCTGGTAAGACGCTTTCATTCCAATGAACCAATACACTAAAACTTTCTTCTAATTCATAAAAATGTGAATTTCTGTCAGTGCAAGTTAACTGGTGTATTTCGATGTCATTCATTTTCCTTTAATTTCTCGCTAATTTTACTTCACGCAAATATCGGGCATCTCTTTGAATGGATGCGTGTCGTTCATCGTGACTTCCCTTAGTTCATGATGGCCAGTAGTGGAACTGTCTTGTTTCGGACATATCAGTTGAATGCGTCTGAATCCTAGCGCATTAACTTCTCAAATCTACCTTTCTAAACTGCACAAGGTTATTTACTATACAAACCATCTTCTGTTTACTGGGTGAATTTATCAAATACAAATCGATTAAAAAAATATGAATTAATTTGAAGTTGTTTTTAATTCTTCTGATATGAAAACAGAACTTTGATCACAGAATGTTTTCGTATTGTGAATTTCATCTTTGATCCCTAGAGTGACTTTAATTATCCAAGCAAACTCTACACAATGTTTTTATGCATTTTTATAAATCCTGTTAAAATCTTTTAAAACAGATTTTATTCCCTTTAGTTCACCAAACTTCAAGGAAGTACACTGAGTGTTTAACATTCCATAATGAAATAGTTTTATTTGATTAAATACACATACTGATAAAGTACCTTTTTTAATTCATGGCGTTTTGAGCACAATCTATCGCTCATAATCATACCAAGGTAAGGTGAGGATAAAAGCAGTCGTAGTGTGTTCTCGCCGTGCAATAGATATTTTAGTTGTATAAAAAATCGACAAAACTTCTTTAAAGCAACCTTATGTAACATCTGAAATATTCATAGCAATCCTTTAAACAAGTAATACACGATCATATAAGTCTATGAAAAACACCAACTGTATGAAGAAATTCAAATTGTTATTAATTGCTTCTGCTCCTTCCTATTGAGGAGGCGGAAACATAAGGTAGTTAAGTCTGTCCCCTACCCCCCGTTTCTTATACTGTCACTCGTTTTAGATATGTTTTATCGATTTCTCTACAAAGCTGAAATATCTATTGCACCATTCGCTGTGCTCTGCGCGAAAGCACATTAGGATTGTTATTATCCTCACCCTGTCTTGATGTTATTATGAGCAATAAATTGTGCTCAAAAGGTCATCAGTTAATAACTCTGTATTACTGTGTGGTCTTATGAAATAAGTTTTATTCTATAGTTGAATTATATTCCACCACGGTGCAAAAATTCTATTCTTATACCAGTTTGGCGAATTGTTTTATTCCCTTTTTCCAGTCCTCTTGATTTGTGACTTTTCTTCTAACACACACCAACTGATTTTTGATTGCACACTAGTCAGTAACTAGTGTAATGTGTCTAGTCCTATCTTCGGTGCAGACTGAATTCTATCAGTCAAGCTTGCAATGTGGCCACCATTCTAGGTGACTAACAGCTATCACAGTGCACTGAGAATTGTTGGTATTAGATGTCCCTTTGAGGTTGCAGATACACCTTGCTGATGAGTGCCAACTAGCACGAAACCTGGGTCCAAGGCTTCCTGCCGATTACCTCCAACCATCTAAATTTATCTCCGATTTACGAAGAATTTGTAAAGGAGTAAAAATGCTTGCAATTAGTAGCTAAAGATTATTTAGATTATGCAAATGTATGGAATGTTTAGTGTTCAGAAGTATACACAATAGCAGTAATACGTCCATTCCTCCTAAAGTATTTGTTTCGGAAATAGATTCACAGTAAACATTTACTCATTTTATTATTTTGTTTTAATCATCTAGGAGAAATGGACAACTCTAATTTAATTCTCAACTCTAAAATTTTGTTCATTCAACAATTTGCTTTATTTTTCAAACAAGGTGTTTTAAACATGCTTTGTCTGAATGGGTTGCTTATCAGCATTCACTGAACCTAGTGAAATACAACTAGCAACTATAGAGTTTCTCCACCATCTCCCCCGAACACCACCTATTAAACTACCGTTTGTAGTTTCGATAATCAAGATGTTTGAATCTGTTTTAAGAGTGGTACTAATTAGGAAAGTATAAACGATTACAGCTTGAAACCACACAGTATTTCCGGTACAAGTATGGAATTTTCAGCATGTGATATCGGTAGCCCAAATTTTGCAGTATGATAGCAGTATGCGCCGGCAGGGGGATCGAACCCCGGACCATGGGCATGATAGGAGAGAGTCCTAACCGCTGTGCCACCGACGCACTACCAATTACTACCAATTCATGAAGACAGTATTATGAAAAGGGTCTGGTAAGAGAACAGTTACCCCCCGTGATACTGGCTGGTGGTTGCGCTAAATGTATATCACTAATTGACAGAAGCTGGAATTCTTGAACCTTTGGATCAAGTCTCATTGACTTAAAGTTTACGAGCTCATCTCGAACCTTGGTGGGTGAACACTGGTGAAAGATCCCAAACTGGGACGAAACAGTCGTCCAGTACTCCTAAGTTTTCTGATGGTTCACTAACTGATTTTAACACGTGATCAATCCTGTAAACAATCCAAAATCATTAAGGGAACCACTAGAAACTGATGCATAACTATTTCGTCTTGCCTTCAATGAACACTGCTAAATAATCACAAACTAGCGGAAAACGGCTGTTCACCCCTTCTTGGCTCGTAATAGTTTCCCAATTGACAAAATACTTACCACAGAATACTGAAATTCTTAACAATCTAAACGGTAGACTAAAACTAAAAATTAGTTTCATTCATTGGGAAATACAATAGCATTTACTATAGAAGTTACACTATTCAAGACATTATGACTGGAAATATGGATGTGTTTCAATGGCTTTAACATTAATAATGAATCTCTTTACTAGCCAATCAAGGTGATCTACTCAGCATATGACTGGATAGTACGACAAACAGCCTTGTATTTAAAAATGCTCAAAAATATTGATGAAATTTGAGTATAACTTGTTGCTAACTTCAAATATTATAAGTCAGACAATTCAAATTAAGTCTCTAAGGTTATACAATGTAAACGAAATAATTGCTTACCCAATGACATTAAAAAATCCCGATATAATGGTGGTATAAAAAGTGTTTTCATTGCAGCCAGAAATGGTTTAAAACTTGGAAACACTTTTGAAAAACCAGTCGCCTCAGTTGCAAAGTTGATAAAGGCTCCAGTTGCCAATATACCGTGGGGATGAAAACCGACTAAATAATTAGCGTCTGTCAATAAACTGCTTGTCACTGGAATCTCCTCGATTTCTTCACAACCACCATTATTGTTATCATCAAGATCAGAAGGTGTAGTAATGCCATCATAGTTATCCAGACACTTATTGATATTTGAATCGGAAATGACTGACCTTTGTTTTGTTGTATATCTAAATTTTATATATTTTATAAAATCCTTGCTGATAACTAAATGTACTGGGAAATAGTCAGCTATCCATTTCCATATTATTAACTGACGCATAAATTGTCTTCGATGTCCACCATGATTTTCTGAACCCCAGTCGTATAACCAATAGAATGTATAAGAAAAGAATAATATAATAACAATTGATAATTGAGCATTTATACAATAGACATTCGAAATGAATGTTACACCTTTCCAATAATACAAAATGTCCAACAAAAAACGAATCAAATTAGAAGTAAAAAAATAACATAAATAAAATAATATGAAAAGACAGATAAGAGCACAAAGTAAAAATATCATCACATAACAATAGACAGTGATATTTTGAAGTAGTCCAGTGAGTAAAGAATATCCTCTTTTCTGGTTTAAATGTTTACGACGTTTTAAAATAACTTCACCATTACAGTTTATTTCTACATCATTCGACTCATTATGGCTGTTACCATGGAAATTTAAGTGTAGCATCATTACAATGGAATCAGTTATTGACAAGTAAATTATTTCGAGTCATTTAGGAAAGAAAAAAAGAAGAGGTAATATCTTTTTCTATTATACTACTTTTAAAAAGTAAGTAATTATCAATTCAACAAAACAGTATACTTGCTAGTTGTGAATGTCCCTGCTATACGACTTTAGCAACAACTGATGAAGTAAGTATAGAGACACGCCAATTGTACCAATGAGAGTATGACAGAATAGATTGTGTAAATAAATTTTTTTTCGTAAAAATTGACAAAATTCAGTGGAAAATATTGGAGTCAAGGTGAAATAACAAAAAACACTTCAAACGCACTACAGTTACATTATATAATTGTGAATTAATCAAAATAAATCAAATTTACAATAACAGTTATGCTTCTAAGTATTGAGTTAATGATAGACTTTGGAATTCGACGTTTAGAGTACTATTCTTTTTATTTGCACATCAGACTTCTTAATTTGAATGGTTTAGAATTATGCAGGGTTTTAATTTTCTAATTTAAGTAGTAATATTCGAATTCATAATTGTGTATCTGATTGAGAGTAATACTTTTTTATAAGAATTAGATTGTTGAATTACTTAATGTCTAAAAAACTATTTACTTCTGCTTATACACTGTTTATCTACACGTTCAATACCTCTTCTCATCACCAACATATGTGATAATGTTGTGTACCTGATGGAAGCCAGCCATAATGGGTCTGAATGCCATTTCATCACTGTGACATTGGTGTATTAAAACCAGTACTGGTTTTTATCTAGAAATGCTACATCACTGTTCACCTACTTCTAGTAAAGGTAGTGATAAAATAGGTTTCAGGGTAGTTATCCTGTAGAACTGTCCCTGTGGACAATATCAATCGAATTCCCTTTCGTGTTCTGTCTTGTGGATTACTCAGGTATATTCGAAATAACTTTAATACTGGCATTTATCACAGCATATATAAAATGATGCATATAGTCATTTATCTTGTAGCGAAAAGAGAGCAGCTGGGTTAATTGTTATTATATTGATATTAGTTGTCGGCTTATTGGGTAGCAGTGAATTTTAGCAAACGTATTTTGCCCTATTCAAAATGTCTCAGTGAGTGATGAGTTTCGAACCAGATTTAAACTCATAACCAGTTGTCTCTAAGTTCAAAACATTGTCGCGGATGTTTAGGAGTCACTAGATCAATTACTTGGGCATCGGTTATCATTTATTATTTACTTATACTTGTATCCTCCGCTTGTTGGTTTCAATGTACCATTTATGGTTTTCATCGCTAGCCATCGCCGATCATAAAACATCAAGGTGGAATTCATGATGATGATAGGATTTATGTTTCAGAATCTACATGTCGGTGGAGGTTGATCAATCAATTCTAGTAAATATATTTACACACAGTCTTAGATATGCGCAAGATATCGTAATATTTCCCTGACATAATTAATTCAGTACGTATTTAGTTATTTTGTTGTGTGTTGAAAATAAGTCATAATTTTCTGCCGGCCTGCTCAAGTATGTCAGTATAAAATATCTTTCCCCATATTTCTTGGTTAAGTCAACCTTCCTCTTTACTGTACTGTTCTTAACTAGTCAGTAGTTCATAGCTCCATCCTCACAACTAATTATTTATCTGTCGGGTTTAGTGACACAATTATTTCCAGTTGTAAGCCTGAACAGAGTGCTTGAAGCCTAGTGATCAACAGGCTTGCCTCAAAATTTGAAGGTCCTCGATTCGATCCTAGGTAGGGTCAAGAATGAGTACTGCTAAAGATTCCCAAACTATGAGAAAACAGCCGTTCACTACTGCCTGGTATTCAATGGTTTTCTAAATGATATAAATCCATAATCAAACTTGAAATCGACATAAGAACAGATCTTGTGCAATGTGGTAGAGTATAATTCCATTGTGGGTAAAATTTATTTTGATAAAGTCTCACAAGGTTATATAGTAAAATATTTACTGATGACGTCTCCAGAACAATTCATTGCTCATAATCATATCAAGTTACTCAGACAACTTTCCAACTTCGTTTATACAATTCCATTATTTCTCATCGCTTCATATGATTATTAATATTTTTATTCCCTTTAGTTCCTAGAGGAACATAAGGCTTCAGCCGAACGTCTCAATTCCATTCGGTTGTCCATCAACGTTTTCACCTGGCTCTACATCTGCCCATATGCTTTCATCTCCTCTTCAAATAACCTCCTCCACGTCAACCTCACACTGACGACCAACTTGCCGCTTCCCATTTGGGTTGCACTGGAGCGATGGTCTGGCGTGTGATGTCACTTGGTGGTTTTCCCACAGCATAACCAATCCACCCCATTTCTTCCTGCATATTTGTTGCACAAATGGTTCCTGGTTGGATTACTCCCAAATATCCCTCACTATTGCTGATCTTTTCTGGCCGGCCATCTGATTTTGGAGGTATGTAGTTTGTTCGAAATGTCCTTCGAGACGCGGCACCAAGTCTCTCATCCGTATAGTGGCTCTGACTTCACATTGGGGTTGAAAATCCAGATCTAATGTTTCATGCTGAGTGCTGTTGATCTCCACACAGACTTGAAAGTAATGAAATCTTACCTTGCTTTCCCGATCCTCGCTTTGATATCCTGATCAGTTCCGTCCCCCTGTAGTTGAGATGATGCTTCCCAGGTAGGTAGGTAGGTAGGTAGGTAGATGAGGGAGGTTGCTTCTTTCAGATTCATCTAATTTATGCTGATTTTTGTTTGTGGTTGTTGCTGTTGCTGTTGGCCAGGAATCTTCATCACCTCTGTTTTCTCTATGTCCATCTGAAGTCATATCTTCTCTGAATGCTTCTTCTGCCAACTTGTTGCTTGTCACTTGCATACCTCCCAGTTTTTGAGAAATCAGAAATATATCATCAGCGAAATCCAAACCATCCAAGTCCTTTATGTCTGTCTCCTCGTTGCCTGTTATCTGTCGCATTATCCAGTCTACCCCAATCAGGAAAATCATTGGAGATAGTGTAACAACAGAAGACAAGGGCCAGGCAACAGATCGTTTTATTATGAAAATCAACACGTATTTATACATCTTTCAACTACATTATTATAGACAAGCGCAGTCATCTGATTGGTTGTTTAGGTAGACAAACGCAGGCTTCTGATTGGTTGTTTCGGGATTCCTTGACAAATAGAGTTCTCTCTGCGAATCATATTCTGCCACGTTAACTTTGCTGTGATTGGTTGTTGACTCAGGCTTGTTCATATTTTCTCACGGCCCATTAGTGACCTAGACCTTAACGTAGATTAGTGCCAACCAATCGGCTAGCAGCCTGCTCTCACCACAATAGTAGGTAACCAGCTTGTCTTACTCCCGTCTTCACTTCGAAGGATTCCATGAGTTTCCCGCTGTGAGTTGCTTGGCATGCTCGGATGAGGTGTATAATTGTTCGTGACACCCCGTAGTAGCGAAGTAGTTGCCAAATCACCTCTCACTCGATGGCCTCGAAGGCCTTTTCAAGGTCAATGAAGTTGAGATAGAGAGCTGACTGCCATTCCAAGCTCAGTTCAATGATGATCTGCAGTGTTGCAGTTTGATCAATGCATGACTCTTGAGTCCAGTCTGTCCCGATAGAAGTTTTTCATCCAGGGCGTGTTTAATTCTCTCAAGGATGATGGGGCCCAGTATTTTGCTTGTGATAGACAGGAGCATAGTGCCGCGTCAGTCCCTGAGTTGACTTAAGTCTACTTTCTTTGTCATTTTGAATAGGTAGCCTTTCTTCCAATCCACAGGTACCTTGTCTACTTTCCACACCTTCTCCAATATTGATCTCGTCGAGTCTGCTGATGTCTTTAGGCCCACTTTCAGTGCTTCTGCGGGGAATTCCGTCAGGTCCTGCTGCTTTTCCAGTCTTTAGTATCTTTATGGTCTGATTTCGTTGGAGGGTTATTATCCACTGGTAGTTCTGCTTTATCTCTTTTATTATTGGGTGCGTTGTAGGTGGCGGTTGACTAAGAAGTTTTTTGAAGTGTTCAGTCCAGTGTTGCCTTCGCTCCACCTCTTTGGTGATTGACTTCATTGTCATCCTTCACTGGCTTAATCTGTGCTCATCTCTTCCCCGATAAGAACCTAGTTGTTTGGTAGAGTGTTAGGAAATCTCCTTTGCCTGAAGCTTGTTCTGCTTCACTTGCCGTACCTTGGCAATTTTATCTTTTGTCTTCCACTCAGCGTACAGTAGCTTGCATTCAACTCCTGTTTTTCTTGTTCGTCAGTGCATTGGATAGTCTTTTGTTTCATCAGCTTTCCCTCTTCTTTTAATCTTCGTGTGTCTGTAGGGAGCCACTGTTTGTCCTGTCTCTTCTTTCTGCTTAGAACTTCCACGCAGGTCTAACTCCACACCGCTTTTAGGCTATTACAGTGTTTTTAAAAGCTGGTCTCTTCGCTAGTGTTGACTTGTGTCTCGGCTTTTTCCTTATGTTTGCAGTGAAGATGTCCTTTTTGGCCTGATCTTTTGGTTTTTGAGTACTGAACTGGGCTTGTGGTCTATCTGCAACTCCTGTTTCTTTGAAAACTTTTGATTTGATTTGGATTGTTCCTTGTATGACATAGTGGTCTGAGCCGACGTCTGCTCCTCTTCTTACTTTTGTGTCCAGTAAGCTGCGTCTCCACTTCCTTGAGCATCACTGAGGTGAAGTCAATTTGGTTTTTGGTTCGCCCATCTGGTGACACCCATGTAACCTTGTGGAAATGCCTGTGCTTGTATAAGCTGCCGCCAATCACTGGTTTATTGAAGGTGCAGAAGTCAGCGAAGAGTTCTCCATTTTCATTCATTTCTCTGAGAGCCTCTCTACCCATGATGGGTTCGCTTCCTGTGTTGTCTGGCCCCAGTTTGGCGTTCATGTCTCCTACTAGTATTTTAACGTCATCAACTGGAGTATTGTCCACTGTTGCATGTAGTTGCCTGTAGGAATCTTCCTTCTTTTCTAGGTACGAGTTGTTTGTGGGTGCATAGCATTGTATAACTGACA